CTCTCTCTCTCTCTCTCTCTGCGAGCTAAGCGCCGTAGGCATGCTCAGAGCTTCCACTGCCTTCCGCCTTTTGACAGTGCCCCCCCCCCGTTTTCTGCATACCAGCCACACAGCTACAGACGGCTCCACCCTCCCTGTCCTCCTGGGATGGGGGCTGACAGACAGTCATTGACGACGATGAGTCCGTCAGCGTGACGGCGGCACGTGGCCCCCAGTTGACGATGACCAGCTGGCTTTTATCAGCGATTGTGCTGCCTCTAAAAGTCAGGGGCAGAGTCACGCAGAGGGGATGCGTTTTCCGTTGCACCCCTTGCGGGTTCTGCCCTGGGTTCCTCCACTCCGTCTTCAGCGCTTTCAAACCGCTGTCTTTTCAGAGCTGTTTCCACGGCCCTTTTGTCCCCCCCCCGCGTGGCCACCTGCTTCTAAAAATACACCACAATATGGAAAGCTAACCACGCCACCTCAGGGTGCCTCGCTGGTTTCCTGCCCCCCCCCCCCCCAGGTCCTCCACCTTCCCCCCTTGCTGTTTTCTGAGCGAGCGAACCTGTCAGCGGGAATCAGATGGTTATTTCATCAAGATGTCCGCCTGGGCTGGATTCGCCCACGTTCAGCCGGGCTCCCGTACAGTAAATACGTGGCCCCCGGGGTCCTCAGGAGGGCCCGACCCGTTACACCTGCTTATCTGCGTGCCCGTACTGTGCGTGTGCACATGTAACAGACACCTGTGTTCTGGCTCGTGTATGTTGTTTTTTTTTTTTTCCCCCGATTTGAGTTAGAACGAATAAAATGCAGAGCAGGTGTACAGATGGCAGTCAGAAATGGTGGCAGGGAGAAGGTATGGAGCGAATCTGTTTATTCAGGAGCTGCCTCAGCAAGGTGGCCATCACGTGTGTCACCTGCCCCGTCACCCCCTCCCCCCCCCACCCCCGTCTAGAACCAGGTCCTCAGCTGTACTCACCAAGCTCGTGGTAGCGGCAGAGTCACGCTGAGAACATCTCCGCAGAGATGGCATGAAGGTCCTTGGCCTTCTCAGCATCCTTCGGTATATAGAGCAGGGTTTCAGGGCCACCAGACAGTCCACGTTCCTGCTCCCTCCCAATTACCAGGGAATTGGGAGAGAGCAAAAATGTGGACCGTCTAGTGGTTCCTGAGGACCGGGCTGACAAACCATGATATAGAGGGCATATACAGGGGCGAGGCCACAAAGGCACTGGCCATAGCTGAAAGCTGATTGGCCCTCGGATTGCCCCTCCCCTCTCATTAACTAATTTGCAAGTGATTTTAAAGTTCACATTACATTTCAATCAATTTTGCTATTTTGTAGTCCCCCCCCCCCCACCCCCCAATGCCCCTCAGGCCAGCACAGGTTATGCAAAGGACTGCATGATCCCAGAGATTAATGATCAATTCCGCGGATATGCCGAGCCACATCCTGTAATATTCCCGGCTTGCCGAGCGATCGTTCCCGGCCGGTTAGCAGCGCCTGCGCGGCTTCCTGCGCGGCTTCCTGCGCGGCCGCTGCGGCTCTGACCCCTATCAGGGTTCCGGGCTGCCAGGGTCAGCCGCTAGTCAGTGTTCCGGATGCTAGTCACAGGGTGACGATATAACGGCTGATGTTTTTCTTCTTGTCCCCCTGCAGAGTGCCGAGACGTCCTGTGTGAAGCGTCCTTCGCCATCCTCGTCGTGGGGGCTCGGCTCTCCAGCCGGGCCGAAGGTCGCCCGAGATCATGTGGTCTCCCTGCCGTCTAGCCTGCTCGCTGCTGCCCCCGGTGCTCCTCTTCCTGTCCAGCTGCCATGCCTTATGTAAGCCTGCCTTCCGGCCCCCGCCGCCTTCGCGGACCTGCCTGCCAGCCGCTCCCCCCCCGCCCCATCGCCGGTCGGGCCGCCCCACCTCCGTATATTTTTCTGAAATCCTGGGAATGTGGGTTCATCCTCTGTTCCTTTCCTCCTTGAAACTGGGCTCAGAAAAGCCTTCATACAGAAAGCAGGGCTCCATTTTGCTTCCGGGGGCTTCCTGGCATCCGGAGGTCCTGCCGTTTCTCCTCGCTGACCTGGAGCTTAGATGGCCTGGCACCTTCAGTCACCCCGCCCCCCCCTTTTGCTTCATCTCGCTTCCTTCACCTGCAGCCTGCTATCGGGCAAAAGCCTCACACTTCGTCAGACTACCTCGGACACGATGGCTGGGCTTATCATCACTGCCTACTTACAGCTTGTATGTTAGTGACCTTTCTGCCATTTCTGGTTGAAAGTGGTCTCCTCCCCCCCACCCCCCCAGCCTCCGCCCCCCCAATCTCACTCGGAGGATAAGCCACCCGACAGCGGGCCTTGTTGTCAGTATGCCCTATATCGTTGGAGGTGTTACCGATGTCCTGCTGTGTACAGGATGAGGTACCCTAGAGAGTTAAGGTTTATTTTATTTTTTTATGGGATTACAGCTCTCCCCACTCCTCCCACGGACAACCTGTCCACGCTGCGTTTCCTGCTAGGGGGGGGCTTGGACGGGGCTTATTCCCCAGGTCTGTGACCTCGGCGGAGTGTTCCTCCTTCGCCGTTGGGGACCGCTCTACCCACAGCCGCAGACGTTCCAATCCGCGTTCCGTGTCCCGCGCAGCCCAGCATCTCCCTCTCCTATGCAGTCGCCCCCCCCCACCCCAGGCAGGACCGAATCCTTCACCGATTACCCTGCGATGAAAATGCTTGTAAATAATGCTGCGAGTACACGCACCGTACATGCATAATTACATAAATGCGCCCATTCGGGCATGCATAAATAAATGCGCGCAGCGAGCTTTCGCGTTGCGAGGACCTGCAATGCGTTGGCGCCCTTCGTCAGACATCATAAGGTACTACATCCAGGGTTGCTTTCTTCCCCTCATGCGTGCTGATGCATGAGATTTCCATTTTAATGAAGCACAATGAAGTATTTTAATATTTATTTACTCACTTATTTATGATTTATGCTCCCCCCACATGCTTAAAAGTGTGTGTCGGTAGATTGTCCTGCGAGGTTCCCTTAATTGTAATTGACTAAAGCTTGAAATGGTGGGAGCTGAACCTTAATAATTTATTTCACTCTGAGTCAGGAAGGTGAACATTTCTGAGCTCTCTCTCTCTCTCTCTCTCTCTCTCTCTGTCCTTCTCCAGTCGCTTTTAAAGATTTAATAACATGACTTACTATTCAGCTCAGGTTAGAGAGGCTGGCCTAGGTTGTTCCTCCAAGCCAGAGGTAACTAAAGGGCCCTGTTTTAAATCAGCATGGTTCTTCTTCATTTTAACAATGTCAAGGTCAGCTGCATCTCAAAATAAGGCAACTGGAAAACGTCAAGGAGTCCAGCCCTCCTTTCCCAGTGAGATGCAGCTCTTCTTATACACATTACGTTAATAGTACAGTCATGTTTCAATGTTATCTGTACAATCACTTTACAGGAATCGCTGGTTTCACAATACGGCATCCACTCTTTATTGACCTGGCTGGTGCACTGATTTGTGCTGTTAGTCTTGATGCTGCAGGCTATAGTCCCCTTATTTATAGATGAATGAAATGATTATATTTCTTCTGCCTGTACTGTTTACTGTGCGCGAGCTGCCGTTTCACTGAGGCAGTAATTCAGCGGTCATTTCCTCAGTATTGTTCCTAGTAATATTGGAGGAAAATCAGCCAAACACGCACACGCGTCCTCAAATCTACGCTGCGCCTTGGGCTTCATTGAGATGCGGATATTCAGTCAAGACACATCGGTTAGACGTTACCCGTGTTCGAAGGCAGCTCGTTTGGCGCTAATGAGAGAGGGCGAGCCGTGGAATTCACCGGCCGTGGGGGTTCGATGACGATCTGTATGATTGTGCTCACCTGTGGAATTTCTGCCTTTTATTCTGCTTCTCAAAGGTCACGGTTCTGAAAGACGTACCCTTAAAATTTCGTATTCAAGACGTTTTCCTTCCTTTTTTGTCATGTGTAATTTGTTTTCAAAGTACCTTGCAAGAAAAGCTCCTCATATTCCCCCTAGAAAGACAGATTTCTTTTTCGCCTGATGAGGTGCAATGACGTGCGGTCGTATTAGCACACAGGACCGATGGTGATCGTCACATGGTCAGTGCTGCCTCCCCTCACCCCCCCAGAATGTATCGTCTCTGTCCCCAAAATCCGAATACAAACGTAAGTGTTAGTTTCTGCTCAATTCCGTGAATGCAGGGAGCTGCTGACTTGCGTAAAACTGACTTTCATAAACAGAAAAGTTTATCCTTTCAGTTGATTTGTTTTTTCCGTACGCATTACCAGCCATCTGTCTTGAATGGTCTGATTTGCTTAAAATTTGACTTGCACCGAAGTGTAGAATGGATGCCTTGGGTCAGTCGAGTGATGCCTGTATAATGGTTCCTGCTTACAGCTAATCTGGCTTTTCGGTCCGGTATGAACTTTGGTAAGTTTTGTCCTTGTCGGCTGGCAGAGGGAAGGGTCTTCCGCCAACTCTGCCATCGTTTGGCTATAGACTGGGGCACAAGCCACTCTCCCCTCAACCCCTAACCTGCAGCAATTAGTGGCCAGAGCCCAGAATGTTCCCTCTGCCCGCTAGGAAAAGCAGCGGCCCCCCATAGCGCTGATTGGCTGAACAGCCACTGAAAACAAATGTGGTGGTTGGGGGGGGGGGGGGGGGGGAGCATGCGGTAAGGGGCGGGGCCTCAGTGAGAGCAGGGCCTCGCCTCACCGGGGAGGGGGCCGGGGTGAATCTTAGAAACCACCCTCACGGGGCAAGGCTACTGCACGCCCCCCCCCCCTCCATGTTTTACTATAGTCCCCGGACCCAAATTCTCTGCTTTCTCTTTGTCTCCCTTAAATCCCCCCAGCAGCAGATTATCTGGAGCCTGAGGGGAGAACATGTGAGCAGGAGGGGAAGGTGTGTGTGGGGGGGGTGGTTTCCATAGCGACAGGCCAGGCTGTGCGAGCCCCCATGTAGTCCTCTGGGACATGAGGGCAAAAAGCCCAGTCCGGATGTGATGGCAGAGTGCCATGTTCCGAGGGGTGTGTGTGTGTTTGTGTGTGTGTGTGTGTGTGTGTGTGTGTGTGTGTGTGTGTGTGTCAGGGTCTCTGCTTGGATCTGGGCTGCTAACTGAGTGGGAGCCACAATAGTCTGCAGCCCATAGAGACTTTTGTAGCATGAATATGAGGACAATCTTTTCATCATCATTCATCTGCCGCTCCTGTGATATGTGTTTCCTCTAACTCTGCATTGGTCCAGATTCCCCATTTTGGGGCTTCAGACGACTGTAAAATCCCCACTGAATAAAAAATTCATCTAATTCGAGGTGCATGAGGATGGCTCTCTCTGAAATCTGGGTCGGGGGATTAAAAAAATATAATTGAGAGAAGCTAGAATTCCATGAAATGGCCCTTTTCACCCGCATTTCTGTTGCTTTGTGCTGATTTCATGCACTGCGCTCCCTCAGTACCGAGCCCCGACGATGCCGTCGCCCCCTTTCCGGGCATCTGGCGAGGTTGAAGGTGGCAGCGCGTCTGCACCAAGGCGGGGGCCACGGGAGCCCAGCCTGCTGACGCTCCCCAGCCATCTGACAACTGCACTGGTGGCCAAATCGTTTTTCTCCCCCCAATAATTCAGAATTTCAGTAAGGCACTGGGAGTCGGCGGTTTCGGGCTGGACTCCCTCACAGGAGTACCAAGGCGGGACCTCCTTTGATGGACGGCCCGACAAATAGTAAAAAGACAGATTTGTGTTCCCCCCCCGCTAGAGTCAATGTCTGTCTTTCATATTGCACAGTGGACCCTGCCCTCCCCCCCCCCCACAAACCCAGACATGTTGACTTTATTTCCAGACTTGGCGGGAGTCCTGGTTCCTGGTCCGGCCCCCAAACGTGGACCCCCGCCAGCTCTGAAACTTGTATCATCAGCTGGGGAGGTGGCCCAGGGCTTGCTCCCCCAGGCCAGGGATGGCGTGGGGGTCAGAGAGGTCGCTTCTCCTCTCCGCCTCCAGTCCAGGGGTTTTGGGGGTGGGGGAGACGAAGCCTCACCACCTGTGAATCCAGCAGAGTTGCTGTCTGAACACACAGGGTTAAATACCTGGTTCAGTTACAGATTTTTTTTTATACAAACAGCAGGAAAAAGGCATAGATGCCCCCAGGAAATCAGAGAGGATCTCTGCTGCTTGCTGCATGCGGTGTTTATTTTTATGTATTTGTTTCCGCCAGCATACACGGACGATGTGATCAGAGGTGCGGGGATCGCTTCGTTTGGTCTCCCGGTGCCGCCGTCACAGAGATGATCATGTGATCTCGTTCCCTGAACCGCCTCGCTGCCCATTTATTTATGTATTTATTTATTTGTTTGTTTGTTTGTTTGAGAGGTGAGATGGGAACTGGGCCGGCTGGTTCTGAAGTATTCCCGGTTTAGGGAGGGGGGAGTTAGTCTGCAGAGACACTGCGCATGTGCGAGACCCCCCTCCCCCC